GATGATGATGATGATGACGATGATGATGATGATGACGATGATGATGATGATGACGATGATGATGATGATGACGATGATGATGATGATGTATTGATTTAAAATAAAAATAAAAAACATACATCCCATCAAAAGGGAATCCAAAGGATCAATGCTTAATGGTGTTGAAATGGTGAAGAAATCCACATCTCCGCCACGACCAAAAGATCTGAAAAACGGCCCTGCCTTCTTTTTCAAGGTGGGTCGCACGAAAAGGATGATCACCGCAGGACAAAGGATACCCAGCAGCACCAAACTCACAAGGACCTCATGAGGGAACACTGCGACCGGGGAAAAAGAAGAGCTTGGCCAAGAAAACATAAGAAAACATGCCAAAAAAAAAACAGCGAAATCTTCGGGTGTTCCGCTGTTCCCAGCAAGTGGTTGGGTCTTGACGATAAAGGAACGAATGAAAAAAAAAGGTGTGTACTACCAAATACCGGCGAGATTAAACGACTTGCCAGCAACCAAAAACGAGGATCTACAGTAAGAGATATCCTTCAAACCTGAAGCCTTTCCTGCCTTGTTGACTAACCTAGCAGCTAGCAATGCTTGAAAATCTACCATTTCATGGTGGTTTGCCATTACCAGGCCTGCATCACTGGATGGCATCTGAAAGGTACAGTATCATAGAATGCCATCAAAATCATCAAATGATTGCCATCATTGAACAAATCAGCCCTGCAAACGCATTGGAGAAAAACACCATGGGTTTTTCAGGCCAAACGACCCAGGCTGCGATGTTCTTCGCTTTCATTCAGCACAATGCGCCATGTCGGTGGTCGCCAAATGTCTTTGATCACAGTGCTGGTGCTGGCATATCTACACTGCCATAGTAATATCCAAATGGCCCTGAGTATGTCATAGGCTCAGGTAAACCTGATTATAAACATATCATATCTATATGTAATTATCTGTGTATCTCTATATATATAATTATATATATATAAATATATATATATATAATTATATATGGAACATCACATTGAAATTTGTAATAGGTAAATCATCATGTTTACCATCTTTGGGCCATGGCTTCCATCGCAAACTGTTTAACCAGAACAACTGCGCCGAATCTTGGCTCTTGCAGAGCGGCTTGAGCGTCCCACGGCAGAAAGATAACCCTCGGGTAATCAAACATGGTAAACATGGCAATGGAAAATCCACCATTTATAGATACCCTCTGGTAATTTAACATAGCTATGGAAAATCACTATTTTTTTATGGGAAAATCCACTATAAACGGCCATTTTCAATAGCTATGTTAAATTACCAGAGGGTATGTCACATATATTTCTTAATGGATTTTCCCAGCGTTCGAAACCTCCAGAAATAGTTCGTGATACCAGCAGGCTCCGAGGTGGCTGATAGTTGGGTCAGCTGCACCTCAAAAAGAGCCTTCGATTGGAATTGATTGGAATTGAATCACAAATTTATGAGGGAACAACTTGATACTCGTTCTATCTTTTTGAATATGTTCAAAATACATCAAAATACAGTATTTCGCAATGTTTGACCCTGTTTTGCAATCTGTAGTTGATTCTGTTTTGGATTGTTTTGGAATACGTTCTTTCGGTATGGTACTGTATGGACTAGGAATTCTTGGTAAGACCCCCAAGTTCTGCTGTGACGCAGCGCCTGAAGGCCTTTTCCTCACACCGCGCTTCCGCGGTCATCCGGGGGACCCGCGGCGCACCCAGGGCGATGCGGGCGGGGCGCCGCGAATTTTCGGCCAAGGCGACTGATCAATACATGCGAATCGAACCAGGTGAATCGTCACGTTTGGACCTCGCATTGCACAGGAGTTGCGTCCTGTGGGACGTGGGAAAGTCGGGATCATCTAAGGTATGATGAAATAGGGTGGAAATAAAGAATATAAAGGAAAGAACCAACCAGAGATGGGTTGCAGCTGTGTTGTGTCCTTTGATCCGATAGCTACATCATGCTACATCTATAGCTATCTCCAGCATATAACATATGAATACAAATGAATACATTACATAATAACTATATATAATATTCTAACCTATATCATATACGTATGTTGCATTCAATGATTCAATCATCAGAAGTGACAACGGCTTTTCCTGGTGCTCGACCGAGCTTGCGACGAACTACAGGTGTAAAAAATGCCAAAGAGGTCCAGGAAGGTTGACCTCAGCGATGGTTGATGTTGCTGTGGTGTCAGACATCCCGCTTAGAAAATGACATGGTTGTGACATCCCGTGGTTTTTCAATGTGTTTCATGGCTTTTGAATGGTTATGTAAGTTATGAATGGTGGTCATTTTACGATGTCTATGTCATTTCGAGTTATTGACGGAATGGTGCCAATGGAATGTGGAAGGCAAAGGATGGACTCGGCGAAAAGCAGCTGGTGATCAACCATCTACATCGCCCTTTTTTCCCATCGGTATAGTTTAAATAGAAAAGTTCGAATCTTCCCCAGAATGATGGAAGGATTATGACTATTTCATCCTATTTCCAGATGTGTAACGATTCCGATCAAGTCCTTGGAATCGCCCCGGCTATTGCTATACCCTCTGGTAATTTAACATAGCTATTGAAAATCACCATTTATAGTGGATTTTCCCATTGAAAATGGTGGATCTTTCCATAGCTATGTTAAATTACCAGAGGGTAGCTGCTAAAGAAAACCATTGGCCAACAGCTGAGGAAGAAACAACTCCCAAGGCGAATCTGCCCGCAGGGGCGACAGCTCCTGTTCAGTACCCAGGGGCCTCGGCCGAGTCGGCCATGCGTTCCCGTTCAACGCTTCAACGTAGCGAAAAAAAATCCAGTGAAACATATGGGGATGGGTCAAAACCTTGTACCCCTGGTGAACATCAAAATAGCTGGTAAATGGATGTTCATCCCACTAAAAATGGTATTAATAGGTATTGATCCATACCCATATTGAAACATTGAAACAAGCTTGCTTTCAGAGGATGCAAGAGGATCCTCTATTCTGTTTCGTAACCAAGCTTCCAGTCATTCCAGTCATGTCAACCTGGATAAATATAACCATGGGGTTAGTTGTTGTTTTTTATGAATTATCAAAAAATCACCTTAAATAAAGATGTCACCTGCTAATCAAATGAAAAAGGACTCCAACATCACAGAGTCCGAAAACTTTCCTCACGGAGTTCACATTATTATTATGTTTTATTCACGTCACTCTTCCACCAATCAGATTCTAAGCATCAACATTGCTACAAGGCCATTTAGGTGAACATCAAAAAGATCCATCAGCAACACCAAGAAAAGCAAATAATCAAAAGTGTTTCTTACACGAAGGCGAGATGTGAAAACCAAAAGTCGAAAGCTCTGTGGAAAGCATGTTTGCAACCCCGCAAAACAAGATGCACTGTGGAAGCTTCAGAACTCTCAAAAATAAGGTGCAAAAAAGTCCGTGGATCAAAAGCCTCGCGCCCCGTTCGCTTCAAGATGGGATGGTTACCCTCACAAGTCCCATTGATATTTCTAGTGACGTGGTAGTTGCATGTATGGATCAAGTATTGGGTACTTCAATAATTGGATGGTTAATGTGGGTAAAACAATTTCATCAACCATCCCCCAAAATCAGCATAAATATAGAGGTGCTATGAACAATTCCCAGTCATGGGTGGTTTATGGCATTGTTTTACCCACATTAGTAAACTATCTACCCTCTGGTTATTCAACATAGCCATGGAAAATCACCATTTTTAATAGGTAAATCCACTATAAATGGCCATTTTCAATAGCTATTTTGACATAACCAGAGGGTATATAAACTGGACAGTCACATCTGTGGTAAACTCCAGGTCTGTAATGTTGACCCACACCCAACTTTCGCAACTTTCGAAAAATGCCAAGTCCCTGGCGTTCCGCGCCCGGCACTTGCAGAGAGCTGGCAGCCCGGGTCACCATATAAATTGGGGGGAGACTGGGCCCATGATAATAGGGCAGCTATATATACATATATATATATGTATATATGTATACATGATATTAATATATTAGCAACCCCCCCAAAAAAATAGAAAAGTCAAATTCTACTGAGAACAGTGGCTGAGTACGTTTCTATCCTTTTTTGAGGGGTACTACAACCGAGAACAAGATGATTTCCTTAGCAGAGAAAATGATCATAAACGAGGTGTTCAATGAGGAAATCGGACATGATGTCTGCGGGGAACTTTTGCAAGCAACAATGTTTTTTCTCAATGTGGGGGTAAACACCGTAGTATACCGTAATAAATAATGTCGTTTGAAGGAAAATAATTATGTAGAGGAGCTAGTATGGGATGCCATCATTTCCCTATCTGTCTTTCAATAGTGGTTACCCTTTTGCTAATCAAGAGCAACTGGTGTGAAACGTACGTCTGCGATCGTCTGCTTCCAGATTTTAAAAAACATGTGCTGCTCAATGGGGCGAATCCCCCAGTGGTCGTTGTCCCTTGCTACTAAAATAGTATACCGCAATTACTGTAAAACAACCAATACACTAACATAACTATGGAAAATCACCCTTTTCAATGGGTAAATCCACTATAAATGGGCCATGTTCAATAGCTATTTTGACATAACCAGAGGGTAAAACAACCAAGGATTCTTTCGTCCAATAGACACTGACTCCCCGGCAATCCATGGAATCTGGGGAAACCAAAAGACGTTGGGCCAGGCTCAACAACCCCGAGTTGGCTTTGCCTTTGTCTCAAACCAGGGGATATCTATGTTTTTGTAAATATATATAAGCTATATATAATATATAAGCTAATATATATATATATAAGCTACGAGTATATATAATATATAAGCTATATAAGCTATATATGAGCTATATATACGTAAGCTATATATAAGCAATAGATACCAATATAATCCCATAAACAAGCCATGTATGTAGCCAATGTATGACCATGTCACCTGCGCGGTCAGTAGCTGACTATCAATGGCCGTATCCTGGAGACGCGAATCAGCGACTGGTTAAACCTATACCCTTAGGTGAACTATTTCTATGGGAAAAACCACTATTTCTATGGCCATTTTCAATAGCTATGTTAATGATGAACCATGATGAACGGATGGATGGAACGGGAACCTATTTCAGCGAAAACAACACATTGGGATATATAAATCTGGGTCATTTTCGGGGTGGCCAAATCGTTTCGGTCCCGGGCCAAAGTCTGATCATCTTTGGGTCTTGAGCGCTTTTGCCATGTATCAATTACCCTCCGGTAGTTTATCATATATGTGAAGAATCACCCATTTTAATAGGTACCCTTTCGTAATTTAACATAGCTATTGAAAATAGCCCATTTAAGTTGTTTTACCTATTTAAGATTGTGATTTTCCATAGATATGTAAACGTTTACCAGAGGGTACATCTATAAATGAACCATTTTCCAAAGCTATATTAAATGTATTAAATTACCAGACAGTAATCATGGTATTATCCTTCTAGGATCATACCTAGGAGTCCTCAGGAAATGCTCAATCTTTCACTATATCCCAATCATATTCCATGATATCCCAGTTATATGTTCTATACCCATATCCCACTGTAAGATATCCCATTGGCATATATGTTGTTTCAGTTTTTTGGTGTTTTTTCCCCCTGGTGTTTGGAATATCTTATGTTCCATCGCATCCCATGGATACTGTACTGTATGTTCATCCTGAAGTAGATAGAATATGGAACATTCAAAAATCCTCACTAAAATGGGAATCATTTTGAACATTCCATGTTCTAGCAGCTCCAGGATGACTATATATATATATATGTATAAATATGTATATATATATATATGTATATGTGTATATCTGTATATGTATATTATATATGTATATGTAACTTTATATGTATATATATATATAAAGGTTTCCTAACATGGGAGGGTACCCTCTTGCATCATCCAGTCGTCATGGATGACTGATGGGGAGGGGCTCCTCGGGAAGACAGGAGAGCAACTCCTCGTAGTGTACTCGAGCATAGGCCTGGCCAAGGTATATAGTGTGTATACATGCGTAGTATATATGTTTTGAAAGAGGTGTGTATTATATATATATATACGGTATATATATATATACATATTTGTGTCTCTATCTATAAATATTATATATATATGTATTATGGTATTACATATATACACAAGACCAACTTTATAGAGTGGTACATACCCCATGGATTAGGTTGCAAAAGGCATTGAGTATAGATGTGCAATGCCATGTTTGATCATATTTGAAATTGAAAGGACCAGCACAGGCTGCTTGACCCATCTATTTCACTCGGCCTTTCATTTCTAGCTGCTGCTGCCATTGTATGTGATCCCATTTCCAACACAGGCGTTTTTTGGTGGCCTAAGTATGACTAAGTATGGAGAACACCAAGAAGATAGGTGTCACCCCTGATGTGGATCTGTTGGGCTCCTATCAAGGGTGAGTTCTCAGTGTTTTTTGGGAGTTCTCCCGCAGCAACAACAGTCGTTCTCCCACATTTATGATCCATTGATATCCACAGTATCTACTATTCAGAATCCATTGAATTTAGTTACAACCTGATTGGCTCACATTAGAATGATCCCTAGGATAATATAGTCATAGATAATACAGTAACAAATTCCAAAAGTATGTGCTGGAATTATTGAGAAAGGCTGAGTCTGAAAGAACAGGGCAAAACATGCATTGTCAAATGGTAATGAATATGTATAATATTAGTTGATATCCTTACCCTCTGGTAATTTAACATAGCTATGGAAAATCACCATTTTTAATGGGAAAATACACTATTAATGGTCATTTTCAATAGCTACGTTAAATTACCAGAGGGTACAGCATCCGTCGCCCCACCAAAGAAGTGCAGCACCTCCACATCTTTCGCCGTGGCTGTGCGTGTCTTTGCCCGAATGGCGTTCAACTGCACAGTGGCCTTCTGCGAAAAGACACATCTCTGGTTGAACCCAAGGACCATTGAAATGAAGGATTCCAAGACATAATTACCGGTGCACCAGGGTCCCTGTGACATGTACATACAATATTCGTATGAATATGTATATATATATATCTATATATCTATATACAAGTATATGTAATGTATATATAATATATACATATATGTATATTATGTATGCGTGTATGGGTACAGTGATATACACGTGATTCTATAACATTGCATACGTAGTTCTACTCACACCAACATTTTAAAGCAGCCTCTGCATCTCAAAGAAAAAAAACATGTCAAAAAACTGCAACAAAAGAACCAGAAGTAATATATCAACAATGACTATAATCATAGAAATATATGACATTCAATAACATTTAAGAATATAATATAATGTCTATATATATACTATACATACAGAGCCCGCCCAACCACAACCATCCGCAGCTAAGGCACCACTGGCACGCCGTTCCGCTTCTCCGCGAAGAGCTGATTCGGTCAGCACGTGTCGTCGAAGGTTGTGAAGAATGGTTACGAAGAAGATGATCAATATTCCATGATGAATGTTTAATAGGTCATTAACCATAGGTTGTTAACCATGGAATAAGAATGGATAATAGGTTTTTGACCAATGGATTATTGTTAAGCTCAATATACATGGTCAATCTCTGCTAGTCCACAAAAAAAACGCTGGTTATGGTAAGTTTCCATTTGTGGCAAAAAAAACTTGAAGGATATTAAACTACACATGCAAGGTTGGGGATGGTGGAACATAACAAACCCAAACCATACAGTGGACGGAAGGAATCCCAGTTGGTAACTATTGGTAACTATGAAACACTTTCCAAATTTATATAAACAGTTCCTTGGAGAAAACATGTATTAACTCGGAAAACATTATGTGGATATGTTTAACCCATAGCATCCCCTTGTTGAATTTTTTCTTGCGTGAGTTCCATGTGTGGTTTTTCGCAAGCCTTGAGATTCAAGCTGGTGCCTCCCAGTTTAGATGGGCCATTGAGTTAACTAGTAAGTGGATAATCATTGGGATACAGTGGTTTATAAGCCAGTTACTAACCAGTTATAGCTCAGCTAATCCCATGATCCATCTAAGTCATCTAAGTAGTTAGATCTACCATAAACCAACTCAGCTATCTTCGGGGCACCACCTTCTAGGGCTATTGAGAAGTTCAGGTTTCCTTTACTAGAACTAGTTTTATACCTTCAGCTTTTTTGGGCGTGCATGTCTATTGATCAACAGGAAAAGGACTCCTGGCTGAATTATCATGGATTAAATCAATGCACCAACCTGAAATGATGATATTTAGGACATTTGACGTCACTCTTGGATGATTTAGGTGGGTCCAAGAATACAGGGTAACCCGATTCCATCCATTGAATGATCATCATCTTCAATTTCAAATTGCAATCGTGTGCCATCATACAAATTATTTAGATTTTAGACAAACCCAAATCACAATAATGAAGTAAGTCATCCCCACTATTGCTACTCATCGTTTCACAACGGTTCCTGGTTATCTGAGCAGCGTTCCAAATCCCTCTGTCCATGAAATTCTGGTTAAGAACGGGGTGTTCACCCCGTTCTTGGATTATTCTATATTATTGTAATCCATATATATATATATTTATATATATATTGTGGCACACATATATATATATATATCATATATATATATTATTACATATATATATATATGGGTAGTATAATCCCAACTAATCATCAACCAATAGGGCTAGATCCGACCTCGAAGAAGCGCTTCAGCAATCGCGGCGCCAGGTCGGTGGCGGTGAAGGGCCCCATCTGAGGCGCAGCGCGGCAATGGACGCTGCAGATGGCGTCATCAGTATTGCTGCCATTACTGTTACATACATTGGATTGGTTTAAGGGAAAATCTACAGGAAACCATGGTTTTTACCATCAAATATAGGGTTTTCCTGTAAATTTTCCCATCATCCAATTCTATGATACATACTATTACACTAACTAATTGGTGGTTTCAACCCCCTTGAAAAATATGAAAGTATATAAAAGTCAGATTGGATCATCATCCCAACCATTGAAAATAAAAAAAAATGTTCCAAACCACCAACCAGCTAATCGTTTCTATTAGTAATTATTACTAATATTGCTATCATGGTTCTCACTATCCTTGTTATGTTGTTTTAAGATTTGGATATGTCGACATACTACAGTAGTATATAATGTGGAACACACAGCTTTACAGGGGTATATGTGTCACCAACTAACAAACACGGGGAAGGTTCTCCGATGTCATCGGAGATGCAAAGTGATGTACACCAGGCAGTCTGCCAGGCAGATGGGTATATGATTTGGGCTATGACAATGGGATATGTTTACCTGAAGTTCGTTATGATATGTTTACTGTTTACCTTTGTAGAAGCGACATCATGTAATTTTTTGTGAAGAGCATCCGGCAGGGAGATGTCCCTAAAATTGCTGGTATTAATGGATGCTTATTCCTCCTATAGTCATAATGTACCCTCTGGTAATTTAACATAGCTATTGAAAATGGTGATTTATAGTGGATTTTCCCATTGAAAATGGTGATTTTCCATAGCTACGTTAAATTACCAGAGGGTAAGTGTTGACCCATCCCCAAAAATCTTGTCCGTGATTGGATCCATGCTGATCATGGCCACATTTTCCCATTCTGACATCTGTTTTGGTGGAGAGACCTGCCAGAATTGGATGAAGGGAAAACTTACAGGAAATCCTGGCTGTGCTCGGAAAAACATGGTTTCCTACAGAAATGTCTTCCCTTAAACCAATCCAATGATGGCCTAACAACAGATGTCAACAAGACAACTGACAGTCTGCCGAGATGCCAATGGTGCGGAGGTAGGCCCTGCCGCAAAAAACCTCGGCGTCCGAGTCCGAGTCCCAATGGCAAGCCGTCTGACCATGGGAAAATCCCGGAGAGTGACGATTAAATGATCATCATTTTTCCAGTTTTCTTATCGCCGCTTTGGGGAACCCACCATTCTTGATATCATTCTTGCACGAACCCAAAACAAAGCCGTTGTTCTTTGGATCTTGGTAGTCACAAAATCCCCACTGAGGTTTCTAGATGCATTATACATCAGTATACTCCAGTATCATTCAAGTGTATCTGCCAAAAAATGGTAAGTTTCACAACCCAGAGAATCCATATACAGACAATTTATTTATGGTTTCCTGGGTTTTTCGACTTTTAAGGAAGCAAAATGGCAATAAATTTAGCCACCATGGGAAATTTGGGGTTGTTGTTTCTATTGTAGATGTTCCCTTCATTCAAACCCTCACCAAACGAGAAATCATGGTGAATTGCCACATAAAGACCCCCAAACAATAGCTTAGTTGGTTTGAAGTACAAACCACTTAACCCCATTAACAAAGCCGTTGCTGAAGTCTAGCAGTTGGTTTTAGTAAAGCCCATAAAATTTACATCCATCAACATGGTGTTTTCCTGGCTGCCATGTATAATAAACTATACCCTCTGGTAAACTAACATAGCTATGGAAAATGGCCATTTATAGTGAGTTTTCCCATTAAAAATGGTGATTTTCCATAGCTATGTTAAATTACCAGAGGGTAGAACATCCACTTCGAAGCCATGTCCGCAGTTGGTTTGTAACGCCCCAAACACCTATCGAAAAATACCAGAAAAAAGTTCACCAAGTTCACTTGTTTTTTTTGGAAAAACCGAATAGTCACATTTTTTTTTTAGCCCCAAAAATCCATGATATCTGGTAGTAGTAAACCCCATTTAAAAAAAAAAAAACACATCCAAACCATTGTGGTTAAAACAATGCCATGTTTACCACCCATTTGGGATGGTTCATAGCACCTATAAAAATGCTGACTGGGGGATGGTTTATGAAATTGTTTTACAACAATATTTTCATTAGTTGTAAACCGCATAGAAACATCCATTATGTACCAAATCATCAAAAGTGTGTAAACCATTGTAAACTTTCAAAAATCATCCATTAAGTATCCTAAGTATCGTTATATCCTACCGTATCCTACCATAAAATATCCATAAATTCTGGGTAAATTATAATATTTCACTAACCTGAATTAAGGCCATTTGGGGATGATTCCCCTTACTAACTATGATTCCAGTGAGGTCGCAGTGAGGTCGTTATAATTCACCCAGATAAATTAAATCCCAACCGTCTTCGACCAAAAACTCTCGAGCGATCAGGTCTGCAGTGGCGATGGCAGCGAGGTCGCACCTCAGAGGTCTCTGACGAACTTTTAATAACGTCGGAATGGGAAAGGGGGGTTACCAAAGATGGTTACTGTGGTTTAATATGGTTTCATATGGTTTCAGAACTGGTTTCATATGGTTTATTTTATTCTAGTTTAATGGAGGTTTCAATATGGTGTAATAGGGATAATTAATAATGAAATTATAATGGGATAATAGTAAACAAATGTAAACAATAGGGTTTAATCATGGGATATGGTTTTTCATGGTTTTGACAATGCTTAAAATGAATTTATATGGTTTATTGTGGTTTTATATGTTATTTTTTTCCGAGGATCAAGCATGGCTAGCTGGGAAATCCCCGAACCAATTTCACTAAGCTGAAAGAAGGCCATTCGGGGATGATTCCCCTATACATTCACCATGATTCCAGTGAGGTCACTATAATTTACCAATGTGTGTATATATATATATATGTGTTATACATATATACTAATATATAATAATATCTATTAACATATATCATATATATATATATATATCATATATATATAATATATATACATATATAATATATATGAATATCTATTGTACTGGGCATAATTATAGCCATCATTAATCCCATCATGGCTGACTGGTCATCTGGGGGCATCCCATCCGAGTCGAGTTTCATATGTTTCATGGCGGCTGACTGGTCATCTATTGTCAGCCAATGGGAACAATCATTGGTCTATAACTGATCTACAACCTAAATTAATAGATGGTTTATGGTCTATGATAACTTATCATGTAGATGATCTGTAGATGGTTTATGGATAAATCATAATGGTCATCTATAAATTAATGGCTATATGATGGTTTATGGATAACAATAATATACAATAATTATGGTCTATAATCTAATTGGTCATCCATCCTATAATTGGTACAATGGGAACATGATGTTTTCTGTTAATGGATTGATGAGCATCCCCTTGCACATATAATTTTGGGAATTTCCGCGGCAAAATTGAAGGAATCCCGGCGGAACATCGACACTGAAACACAGCTCACTGAAGGGCATATCATGGATCTGTCTGACAATAAGGTACCCCAGAAATGGGGGTTTCCTAAAATAATGGTACCATAAGATGGATGGGTCGTAATGGAAAATCATATTAAAATGGATGATTTGGGGGTACCCCTATTTCAGGAAACCCCCAAATCGTGGTTTATCATGTTCTTCAGTGAAATTGCACACGCCCCTATGAACCAGCGCTCAATGTGTCACCATGGGCTCCCGCGTGTCCGTACGGCCCAAGTCCACAATGTTCAAAGCAGGTACAACTGCCTGGCTTCGCTCAGTCAACGGAAGTCATTTCTGAGGAAATGATCATATTACCCTCCAGAAAATTAACATAGACCCTGGTAAATAGGGGTTGGAAGATTAGTTTCCTCTAAAAATTGGTGATTTTCAGGGTCCACCTGTTAATTTACCAGGAGGTATATTTCACCCATCTGAAATTCAGCCACTGATCTTCTCTTTGGCCGGCCCCAAGCAAGAAAGGACCAGTTACCTGAAATAAGGCCATGAATATATCCATTTATATCCATTTAATTTATGGGGATGATTCCCCTATTCAATGTGCTACAGTAACCACGATTCCAACGACACGATGTGAGGTCACTATAATTTACCCAGGTCCACTGGGATCACCGTGCCAGTTTTATACATGGAAAAGGATGGATCCTGGGTTCGGCTGAGAATCAGCTAGTTATGCCTTAAATTTTCTTGCCTGTTGCCTCATCATTTTCACTCTCTAGTAATATCATGTAATATCTAGTAATCAAACATCGCTGGAAAATCCACTATTATTTTGTTCTATGAGTCTATGAGTCTATGATATCTACAGATGTCCATTTCAGGGATTTCCCGGCCTCATTCTGCTGGCATCGGCTCAGGAGAAGCCTCAAAAGCCCAGCCAACTCCACCCTGGATTTCACCAAATCTACGAAAAAAGTGCTGATCACCGTCGCAACGGATGGGGTGAAGATCATCAACTGAAGGCATCAAATTTGTCTGGATTTTACCATATTTTACCAGTGCGACGTTTGATTACCAGAGGGTAACATAATGATCATAATGTCAGGCAGAAAGATGAAGAGATGTCAAGAGTAACAACTTCTGTTTCGCAAGCAGAAGCCGGTACGGAACCAACCTGAGAGCGTAACCAGCAATCCTGTGTGCATCCTTGTGCATCGCAAGATTTGTTACCTAGAAAAGTATACACAAAATGAATCAAAATGATCTAGAAGAGTTCGTCCATAGTCCATAGCACAAACGCCTTGGGGAAAGTGACGACCTTTGGGAAACCAACATACCGATCCATCCTGTAGAGGTGATTACAAAGCTGGAAATTCCACCCTGTCTTCCACCAATCCTCACTGGGCTCTGGTACCTTAAGCCTATGGCCCTGGGAACGTAGCCGTCGCGATCAATGTCGCTCTGGCGGGAGGGGGAGCAGCGTCAAATTTAGCTTTGCAAATCGGGTACCCCCAAATGTAATGGTGTTATATGGTGTTATATGGTGTCAAGTGTCATCATGACATCTCCTACTCAAATTACAATTTTTGGAGTGACCCATTTCATTCGAAAATTGAATGGCCCTCATTTCCATGTAGAGATCCAGTAGGTGAGTACTCCTAGAAGGGTCTGGCAAAATGAACCCTCAACATACTGGCCAGTGACTGGTACCATTTACACTACATATTTGGGCCAGTGAAATTCATGGGCTGCTCCCCGCGATGAAATCATCAACCCGTGGGCATCGAAGGGACATAAGGTCATTAGGGATGATTCTCCATGTGGGTAAAACAATTTCATAAACCATCCCCCACAGAAAACCACATCCCTAGATGCGAAAAGAACCATTCCCAGTGGTGGTTTATGGCATGGCCGTAAACCCACATCCCTAATGATTCTCCATTTTATGGTAGAATCACCTGAGCAGTGTTCAATAGCCATCCCTCTATCATCAACCATTTAATCCTGGTTCATAGATAGGGATTCCCCGTTCTTGGAATATTCAAAAATCCCCCAAAAAAAATCGACATCAACTCAGCATCAACTCATCATCAACCAATTTTTTGTCATCCCCCAACAAAAATCATCAACCGGCAGGGCTCAACAGCAGCCACTTTTTCAATTTCGCCTGCTGGAAGGCCACCCGCAGCTGATCGAAGTCTCGATGTGGAACTGAGCTCCGTTCCAAAATCTACCAAAGGACCACCGATTTAAGGCCGCAGGGAGAAATCAACGATTTTTTTTGAGGCGGTTGAAAAATATATGTTTTTTCCATGGGAAAATATATGAGAATTTATCATCTGTTAAAATGGGAATATGAAAGAATTTCTGAATCATCTATCCGACAAAAAATCCTGAGTTTGATTTAAATGTGTTTGAGACATCTTGAAACCTATAATCCTATAATTCACTGAGATTCTTGAAAATGACCTTCAAGACGATACAGATCTCTGAAACTGACCCAGGAATGAACCCACTCTGCGATGGGGAGTTTCTTGGCGTGTCAATGCCCAACTTGAGCCACCGGCCAACTGCTGGAAGGAGGATCACACTCAATGTGTAGCACAGCATCTTATACCGAAGCTCCTGAGCAACACAGGGCACCAAAATCCACTCACTGGCTTAATCCAAGAGGAGAAATCCAGGACAACAGTGGTGTGCAAGTACATTTCAATTGTTCAACGAGTTCCTGTCCTGTAATTCTTTGTCCGATTCATAGCAGTTTCAATCAGTCAGTGGTTGATGTAATTACACCCCCGAAATCCCAAAATGCAAGTTCCTATTGTCCTATTGGAAAATAATCATGGTCAATCTTTGGAAGTCCACAAAAAAACAAAAAAAACATCTAACATGCTGGATGATGGTTAGTTATATTTCATATTATAGCAAAAAAACTAAAGGACTGACTAAACTATCCATCTATATCCATCTAGACTCAGTCGGTGCAAGTGCTCGCATGACGTCAGCTGACAGTTGGCATCCCTGGTCAGCAACTGCAGTATGTCGCCAAGATATCCACTTCAAAATCCAAAGTGTATTGTAACCATGGTGAATCTTAGATACCTGATGATACCTGCCAAACAAATCTAATGTTTAGCTGGTTAGTATACGTAATTTTACCATTGATAGCAACAGATTGAAGTACTAAAGTATATAGCCAAGATCGACCCAGTAAAAGAACCCTGGAACCATGAGAAAGCATATATTGCCTCTTCCCACCAATCCCATCTCATCAAAGCGGCATTTGAAAACTGACTTTCCTATCTTTCCCCATTTGCTACCTATGGAGCATCGCTCGGGCTTTCATCGACAGTGAGATTCTGTGCTCCGGACCCTCGCTTCTTTGCTGTTGCTCTGATTCACGTTGATCGTATTGATCGGCATCATCCCCTCGATTCACGAGTCGTCCCAGCGAGTCCCAAGGGTGTCCCTAGGCTGTCCCTCACCGACCGAAAAAAACCCTATATTCCGGGTCAAAATGCTACCAGAAAGGTATGGTTTCGTATTTCTGTATACTGAGGACTGACAACAAGTCTATTAGCGTGGTTCTCATTTTGCCTCATGTTTGATCCAACTCATGTCTTTCTAGCTGAAGCCTTAGCCTTTCGTTACCTGTGCCCCAAATCCGGACTTACTCCAAGCGTGTGAAGGGTCTCATCATTATATAATGTATAATGTTAGGAAAATCATTTGCCATCCAAATGAAGGTCGAACATTGTCCAGCCAACAGCTGCTAATCAACACAACATCGGACCATATCCCAAAACTTGCTCTACTCTGGAGGCAAACATCTGGATTTGGGAGCTCTCAACTCTAAGCAACTACAAAAACAATGTTCAATCATCCCGATGTCTACAGGTAAAGTTTTACCTCACAGAAAATGATATGTAAATGTTGGATTGGCTTAAGGATTTTAAGGGAATACCCACAGGAAACCAATGTTCTTCCCACACATTATAGATATTGTAGGGTTTTCCTGCAGATGATCCCGTCAATATCATCATCCATCACTTTATATCGCACTATATGCATTCCAATGATCTGTTAAATTCTCGTAGTAGATATCTTCAGTAATCATTATAATAGCCCCGTTGTGCCCATAAAATGGTTGATATACCCTGATTATTGTTGGTTATATTATATATATCATTATATATCAACATCCCATTAAACCACCATGTTTAAGGGACGATTCCACAAACACAAGATAACATTTGGCTGGTTCAACCCTATAACCAAAGATGTACACCTAGTGTAACCATTGGGCGTCCGGAAATCGGGCACCCCAAATCCCCATGGTTTCTCATAATGTTCATTTCATTTTCCCCATTATCAGCAAAAACATATCCCATGTTAAGACACAATACCCTCTGGTAAATTAACATAGACCCTGGCAGATAGGGGTTGGAAGACTAGTGTCCATTAAAAATTGGTGATTTTCAGGGTCTATGTTTATTTAACACAGGGTATATACATGTATTGTATACATGTATACTAATCTGAACAAATGATAGCAATTACCAACCTGAAAGGTTCGGGCATTTTGGGATAGTTGCCCCAGTCCAACGATGTGAGGGCGACAAAAAGTTGATCGACCCAGATACTGTCATACTGATCAAATCTTCGTATATCCGACATATCTGTCTCAGAATTATATCACCATATTGTAGCGTTAATTGTAGTGAAAAAAAAAGTATATTAAAGTGTTATATCAACAGAAATACCAGAATTTAACATAATTTAAATATGTAGTCATGTAGTGTTTTTTTTGTTCTGAATCCATATTTCTGTCAATTTTTACACCATCCATTCAGTCACCATGTCCCAATCATGTTCCCATTAAATCAGGCACCTTGATCCAGGGATGGTGAAGAGCCTTGGCGGCGCTGGGCCGCTCATGCGCAGGCCTGGCATGGTGAAACCCTGGTGCTGCCTATCACAGGGTATCACCATGAAAACCCATCCAACGATTCGGTTTTTTGACAAACCATCAACTTACTTTCTGCTTGGGATTCGGAATAATTCGGAATGATCTATAATAACCACTAAAGTAAAATCATCCCAGCAACCCCCATTCCCCACGTTTAGCACCAGGTTTTGGCAACTTAAAAGCAGAAAAACACAATTTCAGTACAAGAACGAGTTCACAATGAAAAATTCACAACTGCTGCTTTACCTATTGGGCTACAACCAGTAAAAATCATCCATCATCCAAGATGATCCTTGGGGTTGGTCCCATCCAACTATGGCCCCCCTTTTTAAAGAAGCCCCAAAATAAATGTCGAAGACCAAACCATGGTTTAACCGTTTAACCATCATGGTTTCTAGGGAAGTATGAATTAATTAGCGATTTGTTTTTTTTCCGGCTAATCTGGTAAACCCTATAACAAACTATCCCCAAAATCAAAAAAACTATGAGTGCTATCGACCCAAATGCTGGGTTTATGGCAGCCAGGGTTTCCTACATGACTATTGTCATATCAATATGGAGGTTTCCTGAAATAGGGCTACCCCAAAATCATCCATTTATAGATGGGACTTTCATAAACCACTATAAAGTTATAAACCATCCATTTTTCGGTACCCCCCATTCTAGGAAACCCCCATATATGCATGCATTGTGATCATCATCATATGCTGACCTCAGAAGGCGCAGAACAAAATCTCGGGCCAGAGGGCTACGCTCGCTCCAACCTGGCGCTTGAGCACCGGGCAGGGGCATTTTGATCGCAAGGGAACCTACTCAGATATGATACTAAGATATACTTTAAGTACAAAAATATGTAGAATAATTGTCATACTAAGTTTCTAAGACAGAGATATTCATTGTTTTTCAATCAATGAATTACTATCAGATAGGTCATTGGAACGACAGCGGGTCGAGTCATTGGCCATGTCCTGCAAGTGTTCCCGAAAAAGATCAGTCCATTGTTGTGCAACCCGAAGAAAATCAAAACTGAAATGGGGCAAAAGCCACAAAAAAGGGGACTTAACATGACTTAAGCCTCCAAAATCTGGATAGGAATTCACCCCAAAATAACAAGAAGATACAAAGAGTTGCGAATTCCAAAGTATTGATGTGTTGACCCATACCATTTCATAGCAGAGCCACACCACAATCCATTTCGTTCTGGGAGAAGGCCGATTGAGGAATAAGGATGTATAATCGCATGGATAAGAACCTTCTAAGCGGTATCCATAGTTCTCAATCAGAACAAAGAAAACGTGTATGTATAATATACGATTACATATATAATATGTATAATGTATTTGTATATAAATATACATATATATATATATATACATATATATACATATATATATATACATATATATATATATATATACATAGATACATATATATATATACATACATATATATATATACATACATACATGTGTATATATATATGTACATATGTCTATATATATATTGGCGCTGCACATGGCCGCACCCTCCAACATCAACTATATGCAATAGCCACCATTCGTTGCTCCAGTCACCACATTGCCGCCTTCTTCATCCTTGACATAGCCCCAACCCCTCCTGATGCGGAGCCGCAGGCTGGATGTGAATGGACACTTTCCACAAGCTGGAGTCACATCTTGACCAAAGATTGTTGGGTCCCATTCTATCCCGGCTTCAAGCCAGTTTCAAGCCAGTTTCAAGGTGGTACCCCCAAAGCATATGTTGGGTACCCCCTTGCATCATCCAACGGATGACCATGACTTAGTTTTTCAAAGCCTATGGTGACGACTGGGGATCCCCATGACTTAAGAAGCCACCTCTCACATGAAAATCGAAAAGTAAAACATAGTTTTTAACCCTACTGAGGCAGTTTTTTCAATGGAATGATAAATGAATATAAATGACTGCTCTATCTGCTTGATAGTTACTATAGATCCTGCCATAAACCATAAATTCCCATCAAATACCCATGAAATTGCAGGTGAAATCCCCATGTTCAGCGGTTAAATCATTAAAGCCCCATTGAATCGCCGTTCTTGTGGCTTAAATCACATGAAATCACCATATGTTAAATCATGTTAAATCATGTTAAATCATGTTAAATCATGTTAAATCATGTTAAATCATGTTAAATCATGTTAAATCATGTTAAATCATGTTAAATCATGTTAAATCATGTTAAATCATGTTAAATCATGTCAAATCATGTTAAATCATGTGAAAACATGTTAAATCATGTTATTGAATCATGTTAAATCATGTTAAATCATGTTAAATCATGTTAAATCATGTTAAATCATGTTATTAAATCATGTTAAATCATGTTAAATCATGTTAAATCATCTTAAATCATGTTAAATCATGTTAAATCATGTTAAATCATGTTATTAAATGTTATTAAATGTTATTAAATCATGTTGAATCATGTTGAATCATGTTAAGTCATGTTAAGTCATGTTAAGTCATGTTAAATCATGTTAAATCATGTTAAATCATGTTAAATCATGCTAAATCATGCTAAATCATGCTAAATCATGCTAAATCATGCTAAATCATGCTAAATCATGCTAAATCATGCTAAATCATGCTAAATCATGCTAAATCATGTTAAATCATGTTAAATCATGTTAAATCATGTTAAATCATGTTAAATCATGTTAATCATGTTAAATCATGTTAAATCATGATAAATCATGTTAAATCATGTTAATCATGTTAAATCATGTTAAATCATGTTAAATCATGTTAAATCATGTTAAATCATGTTAATCATGTTAATCATGTTAAATCACGTTAAATCGTTAAATGTTAAATCATGTTAAATCATGTTAAATCATGTTAATCATGAATCATGTTCATGTTAATCATGTTAAATCATGTTAAATCATGTTAAATCATGTTAAATCATGTTAAATCATGTTAAATCATGTTAAATCATGTTAAATCATGTTAAATCATGTTAAATCATGTTAAATCATGTTAAATCATGTTAAATCATCATGTTAAATCATGTTAATCATGTTAAATCATGTTAAATCATGTTAAATCATGTTAAATCATGTTAAATCATGTTAAATCATGTTAAATCATGTTAAATCATGTTAAATCATGTTAAATCATGTTAAATCATGTTAAATCATGTTAATCATGTTAAATCATGTTAAATCATGTTAAATCATGTTAAATCATGTTAAATCATGTTAATCATGTTAAATCATGTTAAATCATGTTAAATCATGTTAAATCATGTTAAATCATGTTAAATCATGTTAAATCCCTCTTTTTCATGATCCAATCCCATTCAACAACCACCTGGAGCTCACGCTGGTTCCGTTGCCCACCAACAGTGAATGGGCGATGGCACCCACACTGGCCGCGGGAGCGGAAGTTTTAACCGTTGGAAGGGATTAAAATTTAGGCGCTGGGAAAAGGGAAAACCATGGGAAAACTATGGGCAAATTTGAGAAAACTTTTGGGAAAGCTCTGGGAAATGATATGAAATACTGTGGGATATAAAATATGATTCTTCAGCGGAATGAGATGAAATGCAATGCTATGGCAAAACAAAATATTTATCATGGGATATTTCATGTCATTTTTAAACAAGTAGTCATGTGGGTACCGGTCAAAACTGGATATCTTCGAAACGGGATGATATTTACTCCTAACCAAAACTGATAGTCCCGCATCAAGTTATCCTGAATATAGCCCATGTGGGGAATTCTTGAAACGGGACCGGTATTTTTCAACCCTGCAATGGATCATAAATGAGAAAAACCATCCAAAAAAGGTACAGTACTAATGACAATAATAATCCTAACCAAACAATAAGAATAAAGATGATCAATTAATCAGGAAACAACAAGATACAATAAGTATAGTATCATGAGTATTTGTGAAATGCTTCATCCATCTAAACTCCGGCCCCTCTTCTGTGTCCCATCCTGTGCCATCGGAAAAAGACATGGTACGACTGGGGTTATGGGGTATGGTCATCCATCTCATATCAGGATTTCTTCTAAAATTGCTACAATAATCCCTTATTAATGGGGGGGGCGAACATTTACGAGAAAGTAAACAATGGTTGACCATGGCACATATTTGGAAGCTATATATACATATACATATATTATGATTGTTAGTTTCATCAATTATCATTATCTATTATGACTATTATAATCATTATCTAGGTTATTATTGTTAATCATGATCATTATTTGTGGTATCATTGCCCTTACCATTACCATTATCACTAATGTGGCAAGCCCAATAATAAACCTACCATTTGAAAGTATTTTTATACCAACCATTTATAATGATTTTGGGATGGTTTACGGCATTGGCTTTACCACCTGTAAATATATACCCTTTGATTTTATAAAATCTAGCTATTTTTTTATCAATAGCCCACTTAGTCAGATGATCTATTTTATGATTTATGATAATTTATGGTTGATCTATTATATATATATACTATATATAATGATTTTACCATTACCATAGTATATACTATTAATGATCATATAAATAGTGATAATACTATATCATGATCTATACTATTAATATATACTATGATTTATGCTGATTTTACCATTCTCATGATCATTACCATTACTATTACGTCACAACGGGTGCACCTCCACATGTCAGCGGAGCCACCCTTCTGCTCAGAGGACTTCATGACCTGGACCCATGGACCCATGGAGTGGGGAGTGGCTAGGAACCAGCAGAAATTGCTGGTCTTTTACCGGCAAAAATGGCTGGTAAAGCAGAACGATATGGTTTTCCCACTAAATGTGGATAAATGTGGTGTTTTTCTGGATTGTAACTAGAATGATTTTTTGGGTTTTGCCACTAAAAAATAGGATCGAGGTAGGAAAGATGGGGCATTCCTTCAAAACACAGTTTTTAAAAGTTCTTCAATCGAGTTTCCCAGAAAGGATTGTCGCACCAATTACACACCTTTTTTTCTGTGACTTTCAGGTGTGTTGTCCAGCACGGCTGCTGAAACTCAGTCATTGTCAGCGGATCCCGTGGATCCCGGCCTCTGGAACTGTGTACTCGCTTGGATTGCTTTGAATTATCCTTGGTTCCAAGGTTTGTACCCAGCCGTAACTGTGAGCGACGAAAAACTCTGACCGTCAAATTCTATGGTGCAATTCTCGGTGTCAAAGGACAAATGAACCATGGATGCAATGGTAAAAATCCCATTAGTACATCTTGGTACTTTGCTATTGTTGAGGCATTCCAACAAACTTCCAAAGTCCAGAAAAGGACACGTCCATGTTTCCAGACGAAAGTGAATCCCGGATCAACTGAGTTATGAGTTGCTACTCAAGTGGAACCCCAAAAGATCAACATCTAGGGGCCCCGCGAATTATCCGGGTCCAGAATATGGGCGATGCCAAAATCCACCACCTACAGCCAGGTCGCCAGGTCAAGTCGAGAAGTCGAGAAGTCGTCATGAAAAAAGGCTCCAGAAAAATGGTCATGTAAAAAGATTCTTAATAAGTCTTGATATATCTTAATATGACATTTTACAATAAATTAAGAGGATTTGGGGATGAAACCGTCCAATTTCATCATTCCGGAGGGGATAAGTTTGATCCAAACACACATGAAATGCTAGGTGAAGCTTCAACCATCTCTATCAAAGTCACCTTGATGACCGCGTCGGGCAGCTTGGTGGTGAGCAGAAGACTGCTAGGCTTCATGTCGCGGTGGTACACCTGAAGCGGTCGATTTAAGGGGCCATGGGGCCATATTTACAAGGTTTTACCCCTGGCAGCCTATCAGATGACAATTTTAATGGTGAAAATGAGGTTCAACTGGTTGGTGGTTGCTGCTAACCCCTCTGAAAAATGATGGAGTGAGTAACAGTTGGGATGATGACATTCCCAAGATATGGCAGTGTGTCAAAACCAATAGTACCCCTGGTGAACATCAAAATAGCTGGTAAATGGATGTTCATCCCCCTAAAAATGGTATTAATAGGTATTGATCCATACCCATATGGAAAAACAAAAGCCATGTTCCAAACCACCAACCAGTCAGTGGCAACTCCCCACAGCATCTCCCTTCCCAGTAGGGCCTGTGCGGAATGGCTATGGCTCAGCGCAAGCAAGGCCTAGAATAGCAGCGCGTGGCGTGTGCCACACCGAAGTTCATAATGGTTGGAAAATGTTGGAAAATGTTGGAAGATGTTGGAAAATGTTGGAAATTCCATAATGGTTGGAAAATATTGGAAGTTCATAAAGTCCATAATATTGAATCTGGAAGTTCCAATTAATTGTCCAAACAGAGAATTCACAAAATTCCCATCCTTTTTTTTAGCCCTTTTGGGGAGCTCGGCCGGAAGACACCAGCAGAACCCAAGGAACCCGCTGGACAAGTTGAGAAATCCGAGTGTTCCATCCCGTATACGGGGCCGTTCATATGGCTGTGGATTCTTCTGTTACCCTGTTCATATCAGAACCGCTGGTAGCACAATCCAAGATCCCTCATTCCCCCCGAAAAATGCATAAACTATCATAAAACTTCCATTATTTATATGCTACATCGCAGGGTGTGTAGACCCCATTGCTCCATTATAGTACAAAAGTTGACTGATCCGAATTTCAGAGGGTCCCAAAAAACTGCCACAGAGCTCCGGAAAGGCACCTGGCGCACATAAGCTGCGCAAGTGGCCTCCTGCAACCAGTTCCCTTCATCCATTCGCTCCAGCCAATCCTGCAGCGCGGCCACCAGGAACCTCTTGGAGGTGCAATTGGGGTGGAAACAATGGGTATAACTACAGTAGTGTAAATAATGGTATGTTAATAACCTCCATAAGTTGGGTACAGTGAAACATATCCACTTATAATTCACTGGAACTGCAGCCCCAAGTAAGCTAGCCCCTGACAGCCAACCTGGAATGTTTGAAAATCTATCCTTCCCCATGGCCTTCCCCTGTGGAAAGGTGTGGCCTCTGCGCGTCACCTTTTGGGACCTGTTTCCGGCCTTTCCCCTTGAGGGTTTCCTCCCAGCGAGCCATCCACCATCATCCACCGATCCACCTGCACATCGCCACCCATGTAGTAGTCGCTGATAATGTAGTAGTTCTTGTCATCCTGCCACCATCAAGGCACATCAAAACATCAACGGTTAAATCATCCAAAAACAACAGTTAGATCACCAACGAATCATCTAAAAACATCCCAAATTCATGCAAACTTCATCCAAAAGCAGTCAACATCCACGGTTTTGGCCTTCTTTGCCGCCATTTTGCCCCGTTCCCTAGCCATATTTCGTTGGAAACCCGCTTTCCTCCATGAGGTCTGTGAGGCTGGAGATGTGTGGATGCTGCAAGTCCTGGCAGAGGCAGGTTTCAGTGACCCATTTGAAAATCCAGGAAACTTTGTGAAATCTATGGTTATCGTGATAGTTAATAAAATATATGGTTATGAATATGTATGGTTGTAGTGATAAGTTTCATTGGTGATAATCTATAGGTATAGTTAGTGGATAGTCTATGCTTAGTATTAGTTAATCATCGATGGCTATGAGAATCTATAGTTAGTGATAGTTAATGACAGTTAATGATCTTCAAGTGGAGTGGGCCAATTAATCAAATGGGGCAATATGGTCCATGATCTAGATAATCCTAGAAATCTAGAGATTTATATAAAGATTATATATGTTCTATGATCATCTCTGACTACCTACGAATACAATCATGAGTATCATCTATGATCTATGATAATATGATCTATGCTAGTCTATAATCTATGGTCTATAAATATAAAGAATAATATGGCATATGATCATGTATGTGAATGTATGTTGATGATGTAATGATCCATGTATGTATTAATGATCATGTCTTGATGGTTAACATTGAGCATGTATTGAGGTTCATGTTCAGGGATTGTATGATAATATTTCCCTGAAGCCAAATGACTCATGGATTACCCACCATAGAGTTGCAATCATCCATAATTCATATTCATGTGTATGTGTATATATATATATATTTCTATCATAGAGGGTGCCATATATATATATATACGGCAAATGCCTGGGTTTTGCCCGGACCCGCAATGACGACAGGCGACGCATCATCATCATCATCATCATCATCATCATTATTGAAATCAAGTGTACAACTTCCCTGTCTGTACTCTCAGCAGCTGTAGCCCACGCGCTGTACTTTTCACTGTAGCGCTCGAGTAACGCTAGCTCAAGGGCCCTGTATGGAGCCCAAATGTATCGTACCATGACATGTACTCAAAGTAGACTAACATGTTGTATCAGCAACTGTATAGCTCATGTACATGTGCAGGTGTATTCTTAACACCCTGCCTCAACTGCAACATGTACTTCACAAACATTGAAAGAATCATTGTATAACTGAACTGTATTAAATCATGTATGACAGCAGTCATCTGTACAAAACTTTGCCTTCGAAAATCCTGTACATCGATCGAAAACGTAGTGCCGTGTTGATGTACAGACATCTTGTAGCCAGAATTGTCTCAGATGGATGTATCCATGCAGAGTTACTCACATGTAGTCAGAAACCGTTGTAAGAAAAACTGTAGCAGTATCCAACCATGTACTTCACAAATTCAGCCTTGTAGAGCTCGTCACCATTGTAGATCAGGATGTACCCAAGGCGGTCTCGGGTGTAGCTCCTGGCAGTGTAGCTGGAGCTGTAGATCCTGAAATCTTGGCTTGTAGCTTGTCCCTTGTATCTTGTGAACCAAGATTTTCATTCTCATCAAAGTTCTCCTTCACGTGTATGGTGAACTGAGCTGTGTACTGCAGCAATCCATGCTGTACATCAGCTGGCATGTATCTGGACAATGCCGTGCCTGCATGATGTAGTGCCATGGTCAGAGCTGCATGTACTGGGTCAGCCGCTGGTCTGCCCAAAACATGTTGTACATCCAAGGGAATGTACTGGTTCCACACATAGCCACGGGTGTAGCTGTACTGCTGTAGGATCCTCATCCAATCCACAGTGATGCGTAGTACCCTTTGTGAGCCATGTTCTGTAGCGTTGAAAATGTATCGCTGCTCATGTTGGAACATCAGCGACACAAATCCACGATTGAATCCACGGCCTATCGAGTGGTATGTAGCTGTCATCACCTTGTGTAGGTCGGGCACAAACATGAGCATGTAGATCACCGGAGTGTATGGCACCACTCCAGCCATGATGCACCACAGCATGTATGTGATGGCGTCATGGAAGGAGCAATTCCAGGATGTAAATCCCGTGTTGTGGTGGCTGTGCTCCACCACTGCCAGTGTACCATCATCCGAAGAGTGAACGTTGTATTCATGCTGTGTAAGGGCGACAAACATGTACTTGACGCCCTGTGTATCTGCCTGATTCACCTTCTGTTCCCACGGTACCTGGTATGTGTGTACCGGCGCCACTTCCAGTGCATCCTCGATCTGTCCCTTATCTGTAGGACCCCAGAGTGAACTGTACGGCTCCACATTGCCTGTATTGAGGCGAGTGGCCATGGCGTAGGTTGTATTAACCTTCTGTACTTTCGACAGCGGGCTTGTACCTAAAAATTGGACAGCGCGGACAGCAAAGTGTATCGCCGCAAAACTTGTACTGCAAAAAGAACTGAAGTGAAAACCATCATGTAACCCTTGGGGTGAATGATGTAGTGAAAGATGAGGTGATCATGTACGTGCCAAACTGTATCACAATGACCATGTAACCCTTAAGGTAGACATACGTGTACATGATATACTCAATCAAGTAGGCTGCAGATACGTGTACACTTGTTGTGTTCGTATGCTGGTGTGTGAAACTGCTGTAGCTGGATTCTCCTCAATTGTCTGGCGGACGTATGCCCGCAGCATGTAAGTGCCATTGAAGCACTTCTCGTTGCACGTATTTTGTAAGTATGTCTGACGGATTGTGTTTGGTGTTGATTTTGTGTATGGAAAGGATGCCGTCGTGAATGAGGTGTTGTATGAACATGTATTTGAGTTCAATGTGTTTGGCTCGCTTGGACACGCCAATGCGTGTAGCCATGCTTTTGCCTGATGTGCTGTCAGTGTGTATTTTGAGGCTGATCTTGTTGTGTAGGATCTCTCCCAAGAAGTTCTTGAGGTGTAATGCCTCTGTAGCACCTGTACCAATCGCGTAGAACTCGCTTTCTGCTGAAGAAAGTGCTACTACGGATTGTGTACGTGAACCGAAGTGGACTGTAGTCCCAAGGAATTGGATCACGAAGCCAGATGTACTTTTGCGTGTAACCTGGCATCCTGCCCAGTCTGCATCTGTGTAGACTGTCAGGTCGAGCTGCTCCTTGTTGTTGGGCTGTAGAAACACCGTTGGTTGTATCACGAACTTGTGGTGCTTTGTACCTGCTAGGTACCTGAGGCAATGTCGTAGCCGCTGTCTGTCGCGGACTGTTGGTTGTTGTAAAGAACGCGCTAGTTCTTTTACTGCAAAGCTCATGTCTGGTCGTGTGTATGAAAGCCATTGCAGCTTTCCGACCATACGCCTGTAGTGGGCGTGCTCTTCTGTGTCAAGGAGTTCATCCTGTTCTGTTGTAGGTGTAGTGCTGTTGGAACCTGTAGTGACGGCTGCTGTTGCATTTTGTAGGTTTGCTTCTTGTAGGATGTTGTCGATGTAACTGTTTCCCAAAGAGACTTCAAAGTGATCTCCTTTGTTTGTAATCTTCCTTCCAAGGAAGTCAATTGTGTTGTTTGTTGTGCAGGTGCCTGTATGGCGAAGCAACATCTTGGCCTGTATCTCCTTGAAAATTCGAGCGACCTCATCAGGTTCTCCTGTAAAGAGAAGATCGTCAACATAGACCATGATGTAAACTTTGCCATTGGTGTAGACATTGGGCTCTGATTGTAGTCTTTTTAGACCGAGGTCTGTAAGCACTTTTGCTAAGTGCTCCTGCCATGCTTTCGGGCTGCTTCGTAGACCATACATTGCTTTGTGTAACCTCCAGAGGATGTTTGGATTGGTGTAGTACTCCTTTGGTGGTCTGAGTACCAGGCCTGCTGTTGCTGCGAGTGCGTGTAAGAAAGCGGTAGATATGTCACCTACCTGTACAATCCATCCTCTGGCCATGCTGAGTGCTAGGAGTATCCTTAGCACTGCAAAGAGTGGTGTACTGGCGTACACATCATCTTGGTCTTCGATGTGTTCGGTGTACCCTTTTGCTACGATCCTTGCTCGTACTTCATCTCCTTTGGATCTGTAGACCCATCTTGACTCGATAATGTTGTCGAGATCAAGTTCTTGTCTTTGTTGAGGTGTAAGCTTTGTAACATCTACCTCCTCATACACTCCTTGTGTTCTCATGGATTCCATCTCCTTTTGCATTCCTTGCTTCAACTTCTCTGTATCGAATCCTTCGTTGTTGTAGATGTGAGGCTCGAGTAGCCTCTGTTCTGCTCGTACCTCCTGTGGGTCTTCGCTTGTTGCTGTTGTAATCTTCTTGCCGCTCTTCAATGCAACTGTAACTGCATTGATTCTCAATCTTGGTCTTGTACTGTCTCTCTCCTTCGTCTCTTCTGGTCTCGCTGGTGCTTGCTGTGTTGTACTTTGCTTTCTGCTCTTGCTTGCACTTCCTTCATGTACTTGGTCGTCCACTGATCTGGTTGGTGAACCTGTTGGCATTGGTGATGTTCCCAACCTCATTGCTGTAGATTGTGTTGACGTTGATGCTGAAGCTGTGCTTTGCTGTTGTTCTTCGACTCTTTGTTTCTTTGTTGTCTCTGTTCTTGCTTTCTTTGCTTCTGTGTCTGCTTCCTTTGTGTCGGTAGCATGCTTTGCTGCTGTTGTTGGTTGATTGCCTGTATTCGTTTCTTCGTGTGATGTTTGCCCTGCCTGGACTTGTTGCTCTGTTGATGCTGGTGTTGGTGGTAGTATGAAAGCTGGCTGGAATCCAATTGGTGGTGTAGGATTCCATGGTGTGCCAGTGATTGTGTCCATCAATTGAGCATCGTACCTGTTTGTACCTGCTAGTCGTCTGATTGTACGTGAGCGTACAATTCTGCCTGCAATGCCAATGAAGGACTCTCCAGTGGATGTACATTTGCCGAGCCAAATGCCTTTGTAGAACCTGGGTTCAAGCTTTGGTCGTTGTTTGATCGACTGTACCATGTACATCACAGTCTCTCCAAATTCACAGAGAGCTGCATTGTGTGTTCGTCCCCATCTTTTGTGATAGCTGGTGTAGCCATCTCTGATGAGGAATCTGTGATATGCTGGTACTGTGAGCCATCTGCCCTGATGAGGAATCTGTTGATCAGGTATGCTGAGTGTCGTACTGCCCAAGCCATGATTGGGTGTGTTGTCGGCAGTCTTGTGTTGTAATTCTGCTGTACCTGTGTCCTGAGTGTCCTGATGTGGCCAGCAAGTGTACGGTGGAATCTTTCGATGCTGCCACTGCTTTGTGAGCTGTATGCTGGTGCAAAACGCACTGTCATGTTGCCTGTTGCTTTAGCTGTAGCTCTAAGGAGCGCCATCAGGTATTCTTCTTGGTCACTTTGTAGTATGCCTTCTGCTCTTCCACATTCAAGAATGAATGCTTGTAGACATGCCTGTGCATAGGCAAACTGTCCTTTCTTGTCCGTAAGCATTGTTGCCATTGCCATGCCGGTCTGTATGTCTATGGCTGTCAGGATTGGTACCGGCCATTTGTCTTCATAGGTCTTGATGTAGGTGAAATCAACTTGTATGACTGGCTGTTTCGATGTTTGCTGTTGGTGGCTTGTCTGTCTGCCGCGAGATTGTATGCACACAGGACACCAACTCCTGTATGGCATGTGTGTAAGGTTGTGCTGTTGTATCTCCTGCGGTGTAGGTTGTACCGGTTGCATCATTGCTTTCGCTTTGTTTGCGCTCTGTTGTTCATCTTCTTCTTCTGTTGGCATTTCTTCTCTGTATTCTCTTCTTTCTTCAAAGGTTGTAGATCCTGTCCATTCTTGTTGTCTTGTTGGTTGTGGTTCTGTAGTCCAATCGTCTTCGATTCTTCTCATGTTGTGCTCCTCTCGTATATGCGTTGCTCTGTATGGGAGCAGTTTGTAGACATCTGGTCCATTGTCTTCAGGTGTCGGTGTGTAGAACTCTGTCCTTGGTCTCACATGTACTCTCTTCCAAAACCTTCCTTCTTTGATCCAGTAGTCTGTTGTACCATCCATCTGCATTGGTGTTGGTAGTGTGTCTTCTTTCTCTTGCTGCTTGTACGTGTGTCTGTACTTCACTTCCTTTCCTTCATACATTCGTTTCTGAGCTTGTTGTTCCTTGTTTGTATCCTGTTTCTGTTGGCCTGTTGTTGTCTTGTCAGGAAGAATCCTGAACCATGTTTCTCCTTGCCATTGTGTACCTGTAACCTCTCTGTTTGCTTCCTGTTTAGTGAGTGACTTGAACTTGTCTTCAAGCACTGTCTGCGTACCGTTTTCCTTGTAGACAATTGTTTTCCTGTAGTCGTCCAGTCTGTCAAATTGTACTGGACATGCTGATTGGTTGCCGTATCCTGGTGTGAACAATGCCTTTCTTCCTCTCTTGTGTACCCTGACCAGGTATCCTTGTTCGTTGTACTTCCAGAAGTCGTTGTTGCCTCCTTGCTGAGGTCGTGGTCCTGTTGCTGTAAGTGTGTGTGTTGGGGCAATCATTGCCACTTGTCCTTGTGGAGTGTTTTGTATCACCAGTTTTGTTCCTTCTTCCATTGGTGCTGTTTCCAGGTGGATGTAGAGTAGTCTGTCTTTACTTGTAAGTGGTGCCTGAAACACATCTCCTTTCTGTAGTGTAGACTCTGTACCTCTGAGGTTGAGTTCGAAACCTTGTTCCAGGAGTCTTGTAACGCTGACGATGGGGTGTCGTATGCCATCTATGACGTAGAATGGCATCACCAAGTGTTGTCCTTGTATGTTTTTAAAGCGCACCCATCTGTATCCAAGAACCCAAAGGGGCTCATCTGTAACTGAGCGAAGTGGTGGTGTTTGTTCCTCTGTAAGAGGCATCAGTGGAAAGTCTGTACCAAAGGTTGGTGGACAGACATGTACTGCTGCGCCACTGTCGATCATGAGCGCGACAGTCTTGTAGGTGTTGAGGCCTGTGGTTGTGACTGAGGCAATTGTAGTTGTTCCAATGGTCTACTGTGGAAACTACCTGCGCTGGTGCTGTAGAAATCTGTGGTGGCTGTTGTTCCTGGTTGTATGCCGCTTGCTGTTGCTGGTCATATTGCCACTGTTGGTGATCTGGGAACCATTGTTCCTCGTAGTGCCACTGTTCTTGTTCTGTCCATGGTTGTTGGTAGTATGACTGTTGTTGGTTGTACTGGTCTGTGCCTTCATCCATGTCTGTGACGTTGTAGACTGCCACTCTGCAGTCCCTTGCATAGTGGCCCTGTTGACCACATTTGTAACATGTTCCTTTTCCTTTGCCTTTGTTCATTGTTGTACTTTGCCATTGTGGTGGTCCTTTTCCTTTGCTCTTTCCTTCGTACTGCATTGCTCCCTTGAAAGGGTTGCCATGTCCAATCGGTGTTGGACCTTTGCCTTTGTATCCTTGTTGGCTGTATCCTGTGTATCCTTTTCCTTTGTTGTGCCATTGTATCTTTCCTTTTCCTTTGTTGTACTTTCCTTTACCCTTGTTGTTGTACTTTCCTTTTCCTTTGTACGTAGCTCCAATGTCCATGGGCTGTGCATCATTTGTGCTGCTGTTCATTGCCTGTTGTTGTGCTTGCATCTTGGAGAACGCTGTTGATGCTCTGTGGTATTCGAGAATGAGTTCTCGAATGTCTGCATATCGTTGTATGGCTCCTGCTCGTAGTTGTAGGTATTGCTGTAGTGGTCCTTTGGTCTCATTGAGTAGTATTGCAATTTTGATGTTGTCAGGTATTGGTGCTTGGTTGTCTCTTTCGTATCTTGCTATTTCAAATTCCCATGTCGTAAAAGACTCCTCAAATTTGTTTTCGTTGAACTGTGGTTTCAAAAGCTTTGTAAGGTACCCGACACTGCGTGTACCAAGTGGAATTGAAAAGCGTCTGTGTAGTTGTCTCCATGTCTCGAGACCAACTGCTTGTAGTGTATGTTGTCTGCAAAGGACAGCTGCTTGTCCTTGACAAACGTTGATGAGTAGGTAGTGTAGGTCTTTGCTGAGTTGTATCCAAAGGTCTGCTTCTTCTCTGTTTCTTGCACCGTCTGCTAGAAGCTCATCTGTAACTGGTTGATCAAATGTTTCTGCTATCTGTAGGAGCCTGGGGAATTGTGAATTCTGTAGCCCCAAGTAGGCCACAAACTTGTGTTTCCATTCTTCAAATGTTGCGTACTCTCCTGTAAAGTGTGGTGGTGGTAGTTTGTATCTGTGCATCGCATTGAGGTCTCCTCCAGTTGTAGCTGCTGCCATGTTTGTTGTTGTATGTTCTCACCTTAATGCTGTAGCTTTGTTGCCGATGTGTATTGGAGCTCACCCTGTCCTGTATCGTCCAGGGATCACTGCTCCGCTACCATGTTGAAATCAAGTGTACAACTTCCCTGTCTGTACTCTCAGCAGCTGTAGCCCACGCGCTGTACTTTTCACTGTAGCGCTCGAGTAACGCTAGCTCAAGGGCCCTGTATGGAGCCCAAATGTATCGTACCATGACATGTACTCAAAGTAGACTAACATGTTGTATCAGCAACTGTATAGCTCATGTACATGTGCAGGTGTATTCTTAACAATCATCATCATCATCATCATCAGAATTACTGTAAACCCTTATTGAACGTCTTCAATGAATGTAGAAGTTTAACGGGGTGGTGAGAATTAAACCCTTTTTGAAGATTTTCAATGAATGTAGAAATTTAACGGGGTCTTCAATGAATGAATGTAAGGTTTAACGGGGGTGGGAGTTTAATATTCCCTAGTACCTTTGCTGTTTTTCCCATAGGAATTTAAGGTCTAACGGGGTTGGAGCTTAATATTCTTTAGTACCTTTGTTGTTTTTCCCAAAGGAATTTTGTGAAGTTGCATCAGCATTTGTTTGGGAATGGGAAACCTCTACGCTGCAACGCCTGGGCAAAACCCAGGCGTTGCGCGTATATATATATATATATATATATGTGTGTATATGTGTAAACTTATGTATGCTATGGTCAAAACATGGTACATATATGGGTTATATGGGGTATGGTCATCCATCCCATAATTGGAATCCTTAAAAAATGCCAAAAAAAATTGTCAATGGATTGATGACCATCCCCCAACATTGGTACAGAAAACTCTTTCTTTTGACCGTTGCTCAGTTGCTCAATATATAGCTGGGGATATTTCATTGCCACGTTTGATTACCAAAGGATATTTATATAATGTATTAGTATGTATTAATGTAATGTCATGTCATGTAATCTGGCTGAATCAGAATAACTCACCAACCTGGGTCATGTGGTGCTAGCTACCCGGTAACAATTCCCATCATTCCAGGTCTCGGTCTCCTGCAGTTTGCTCAACTTCTCCATAACATTGCTGGCACGTCGGACACGCGCCTATGAAAGATTGGGAGATTTTGGTTTCACCCAAAAATGGGGTTTGAAACCAGTCATGGGGTTCAAAACCAACCCTTCATGTATGTCTTTATCGCTTTCAATAGCTGGTGTTACCATGGTTAAACGGTTAACCAATCAAAAAGGGACTGAACATAAATAAGCTGTAAACCAAGCAAAATGTGGCTTTTAATTTTAGATGACAATAAAATGCAGGGATTAACCACCAATTTATTTGGCAAGATCAAGGACCCCAAAGGAATACAAAATTAATATAAGTTTCAGAGTTAGATGGTTGACCCTATGGCAAAAGCAACCATGGAGAATTCGTACTTTGTATGACCTGGATTTGCATCACAGCTAGCAGATGGGATAATAATTTCAGTATTCATTTCAGTAGCCTATTCATCCAGGTGGACACTTCTCCCACATCAGTTCCGTCGATTTCGGTCACCTTGGGGACGGTCTTGCACATTTTGAGTTTCTGAGACTCCTTCTCCTTGATCACCTGCGAGGGGGGAACACCATCCAGTGGGATAATAGAAACAGGGGATGGGCTGAAACAGCTGGGCTTAAAAACATGGCGACTGTGCCAAGGATCATTGTCTCTCTGCAACATTTGTTCCGAATTTTGTGCACGACCTCAAGATTGGGCCTGGTATGAAAAATGCTAGCCAAAAATCACAGTGACAAATTGTCTTTCCACTTTTGAAATTGCAACATTAGTGCCCAGCCAGTTCATTGTCCAATTTGGGATGTTAAACTTATCTACTCAGATGTTGATTTTGGGGGCAGGTGGCAGTGGGAAAACGCACAGCCCAGGGCAGACGGGCTGCGGAATCTTTTCACTTTCGAAATCTCGAAATTTGATGCCCAGTTCAGGCGCCCCCAGCACGTTCACGCGCGTCCTCCTGGAAGATTTCGGAAGGATATATGATATGAGATGAGTGTAAACATAAGGACCGATGAGTTGCTGTGTTGAAGCATCCAATTATAGCCACGATTGCCATGGAGCAATCACACTCTGATGCCTGTGGTAAAATGCATAGTTCTCTTCATAAAGTCCGTCTTTGTCGCAAATATCCTCAGCTTCACTGTTTCAAAAGTAACTATACAGGCAGATATTCATATTGCATCATATTGCAGTATATTACATTCTATACGGATTGTCCGTGTATGGATCAGAATTTCCTGCCCTGTCACCCACATATTATAATCGTCTCCATTCTCGTCCCTTGGTCTATCTCCCCATTCAAAAGTCGATCTACTTGGGTATGCATCCCAGTTATAACCCACATACAACCCATCTATAAGCCAAGTTTATAACCCATATAGAACCCGTGTATAACTCAAAAAAAAGCTGGGGCATGACATGGTTAATTATTACATGTTATTACCCACTGATGAAGTTGGACCCCCAAGCACCCCCAACCCCTCCCCAGGGCTCCTTCACCTGCCCTTGGCCACACGCCTCCCGCGCCTCCAGCAGTGCTTCTGCCTGGCGCCCACTGAGCGACACGTAGCCATACCACGCGGAGCCGACCATGGACAGCACGCAGCCCAGCGCCGAAAGACCAGACAAATCGTCGCCCAGCAGCAACACGGAGAGCAGAATCACCAGCACCTGGAGAGATGAACCATCTAATTCCCTGGAGGAACATTCCATTGGTTCCTAATCATTACTAGTAGAATGATGAATCATGTGGGGATGGATCATCACGTATCATCCCTATATGAACAGCCTTTTGCCGGTCAAACATATATCAGCCCACAAGAAAAATGTAATGTTCTACCTTTTTAGATGGTATAGTAGTCCCAAAAAAAAACGAACAGTGAACAGTGTTTCCAGAATGCTATAATTAGATCATGGCATATCTACCTCACATTTCGTTTTCTCCAAAATTCTGCATAAAAAATGCATAAAAAACCCATCCACCAGCCGCCCGCCTTGCTCATGTTCTGCAGCATCAGCACGGACGCTGCGGTGATCAGCCTGGACACCGCCAGGCCGTAGAACCCCAGGCAGCAGCCCGAAAGTCCCGAGCCCACCAGGGTCATCCAGGTGCCCCAAGGTGAAACCTCTAGCCTCGGCAGTAAAACGGCCAAAAAAAAAACGGCACAAAAAAATGTGTTTTTTTCATTGATAAACAGGATGAGAATGGTGGAAATGATATATTTCATACATATATTGTGTATATATATATATTATTAAACTGGTAGCAGGAGTCTATCCACCTCCACAAGACAGTTTGGGGCCTCCTGACTCTAGTGTACCATTGGCAAACCCAAATTTATGACCATGGTAATTTCCCTTTTTGGGGGTGGACGGGGTGGACGAACCAACCATAGCCAATCTTAGACTGGCTTTTGGCTGGTTAGGTTCCAATATAGCAAAGGAATACAAAAGATGAATGTGTACTAAACTATCCATCCAGTTGGTTTGCGTATATGTTCTTGTGACACCTCCATGTATGGTTATCCACTACCCATCTCCTCAATCATGAAATTCCAGTTCCAAATTTTGCTGAGGTTCAACTTCCGTATGCTTCAATGTTAAACCATAAATCCGTCCTTGTTGAACGGAAAAACATCACATCGATCCAGGTAACAGCCGAGGCCAGACCTTGCTTTCACCCGTCATCAGCGCCACCAGCAGCAAGGGAAGCATCCCGAAGGTGTTGTTCCTGAAGCGCCACCGTCGCGAACCGAAAGTTGCTTATCGGAACGCGAACCGAACCATTAAGGATAATCCAGACTGTTCCGTTTGGGGGGCAAGGTTAACCAATGGTAACCCATGTTAACCCATGTTAACCCCTAGATGATTCTATGAAAATAATGCTGACAAATGTGGGTTTCGAAGCTGAGTTCTCTGTCATCTGGGATGGCCTCAAAAGTTTCAACCTCAAAATATCATAGTCATAGCGTAGGTTTTCCCACCAAAATTAGCACAGATTCGCAAACCCCCTTTTTGAGACAAACCCACATGTCAATATGCAATGAACATCTATGGATATGTGTTCAAATTTGTGTCGAACTTTAAGCCCAGGGGACCGCAAATGGTCATTCTAATCGGGACACCGATCATAAATCATCTATCATGTGGTTAGGAAACTTTAAGTTAGTACCTCCTTGGTTCCCCATGCAAAATGTGGAATGTGGATACGATCATAGCTCCAAACCGATCCCAAAACTTAAAGCACCGGATAGTCATCTGGATGGATGTGGTTCAAAATGGTGTGACAATTAAGCCATGAAAAATATTCTCATCCTGTCGGTAAATAGATATCCCCTATATATATATATTGAAATAACAAATCCCGATAAACCAATTAGTATTCCAGTATAATTATTACAGTGTAACGCAAAACACATAACCCATCAAAAATAACAGGGGTTCTCATTTTAATGGCTGAAAAAAAGAAATGTCAAGATATGTCAAGTTGGCCAGGTGGCATGATCATACAAACCGCCAAAGGCTGCTTGAAATCAGGGCTCATGAGCAAGTGCCGCTGTAGTAATTTGTCGACCACTGTCAGGAGCGTCCCTGCCGAGGATGATCCCAGTTTTACCGAAGGATCCATGTTGCTTCATCGCCAAAACCGGAGTATACGGGAGTCATGTTCATAGTCACAGTCATCAATCATCAATCATCAATCATCAATCATCAATCATCAATCACCATCATCATCATCATCATCAATCATCAATCATCAATCATCAATCATCATCAATCATCATCATTGTCATCGTCATCGTCATCATCAATCATCAATCATCAATCATCGATCATCAATCATCAATCATCAATCATCAATCATCATCATCATCACCATCATAATCATCATCATCGTCATCATCAATGATGATAATAACAATGACTGAAAAATCATTAACCATCATCGATGAAAATATCATCAGGATCGTTCTCATCGTCCTTGTCCTCGTCCTTAGGTCCTTGTCCTGCCAAGCGACCAAGCAAAATCATGACCAAACTCCAGGTGGTGACAGAAAAGTTGGAGATTCCATATAGGGTCGTCCCAAAGAGCGTCAGCACCATGGACAAAATATGGCCGGGTTTCACCAGTCGAGGACTATTGAATAAGATCTTCTCCAAGATAAATGTCACGATGGGGAGCACGTTTCGAATGATATTCACCTGGCAGTGACAAAGCCACGGTTGGACCGCAGACTTTTCGTAGAAAAACTGCCTGCAAAAGCGAACCTTTGCCTGAATTCAACTTCAGCAGAGCTCACAAAAGAGAATGACCGGCCGGAATTCAATTTCCGCAAAAACGACCAAAACTCAAGGCCCACTGCAGCTGAGACACGGTGCTCACTGTTGTACCTTCCAATGCGAAGATGGAGGTTCCCAGCATGCCAGATACCAGGAAGGACACCGGCAGCCAACGGACGAAATCCCTGGCACTCGGTAGCTGCAAGTCATCGAAACGGATTAAGATCACCACCACGTTGGCAATCCACATCTGAATGATCACCAACCTGCATTTTTCATCATGTTTCATCATTTTTCTTCAACAGGGATCATTTGGAACGTCGCCAGAAAACAAGTTTGCAACAATTCTAGCACAAAATGGTAACTTTTAATTACCCTCTGGTAAACTAACATAGCTATGGAAAATGGCCCATTTATAGATGGTTTACCTATTAAAAATGGTGATTTTCTATAGCTATGTTAAATTACCAGAGGGTATTAGATTTGATGAGTTGGTCAACACAAATGCATACAAATGCACATGAAACCCCATTGGTTCTTGCCTGGATAGCAGCCTGATACAACAAACATTTGGATGGAGCTGGGGCATGTCACTTCCCGGCCCATACAAATTGTTGAATCATGGAGATTGGGGAATTTGAATTCCGAAAAGAAAAAATGACCGAAAATGCAGCTGAAGAAGCAAACACATCGCGGAAAAGGAGCTTGCAGCCTCTTTGTTCAGCAGGTTTGTACAAATACTGGCAGCAATCCAAGAGCAAATGGATGAGATGAGTTCCGTGTGGGAGACGTGACTGAATATGACCTGGGATGTGTCAGTGCCCTGCATTTAGGATGGCTGGACGGCCATGGCCAACCTGGAATTCCATTCCAATCCGATCCCTACGCCCTGCGCCATCATATCGTCACGCCTACCAAAAAACACACACACACAGCTCCATAGCTCCATAGGTTCCCTCCTAACCATGGGAGAGCCGTTGGAGAGCCATTACATCGTATGACATTCCACTATGCCGCCCCATTCTACCTGACCCATATCCCATCCTATCCCAGTATACCTGGACCTTACGAACCAATATCGGGGGTGATTCCTCGGGGATGGGCCAAGAAATGGGGATGTAAGTTGATGTAACCAACCCAGAGGTTAATTCGGGTTATATTATTCCAACTGATATAGGATTACACACTTGTGGTCGAAAGTGGTTGAAAACCAGCAGATGGACCAATCGGGATGTATTTAGGATGTCCATGGATGCCCAAGAGGACATTTGTTAATCCAAAAGGAGATGCGGGCCCGTCTCCAAAAAAAAAAGTACCCTGAAAATTGGATTGTATCATCCTTTCCCTTATTGAAATAATTTGAAATATAGCCGATGGAAGTTTAGAAATCAAACTTCCGACAATATTGACAGATGAAAAGCAGAGGTGGGAAGAGTCAGAGAAGAGACAGGAAGAAGAGAGAAGACCAGAGAAGAGACAGATCAGAAGAAAGAAGGTGCAGGTGCACGAAAAGGTCGAGAAAAATCGCGAAACAGTGTGTTTTTCCAATGATTTGTGGTTCCGGAGGGTCGAAGAGTACGCTCGCTAAAGCGGGTGCGGAGCCATTTGGCGGGATGAGAGATGAAAAATTGCATGCCGTTGTGGCACGAAGCACATTTCCAAGGCAAAATGAACAAAAACACCTTAACGTCGGAACACTTTTGGAAGTTGAGATGTTGAAAAAGTGTACGCCTTTGCGGAGCGAAGCACATTTGGAAGTCAAAATGTAAAAAACATCAAAAAACACACCATGCCCGGAGCACTTTGGAAGGTGTGATGTTGAAAAAGCGCACGCCGCTGTTGCGCGAAGCACAGGTCGAAGTCGAAATGCAGAACGCACTTCAGTGTCGGAGCACTTTTGGAAGTTGAAAGGTTGAAAAAGTGCACGCCGTTGTGGCGCGAACCACATTTCGAAGTCAAAATGCTAAGAACAAACCATGGTCGGGCAACTTTTGCACGTTCGGATGTCGTTTCGCGTAAGGGATCCTGCACCTTGCCAAAAGTGAGCAAAACGTGAGGGTTCTGTAGCAATGTCAAAAACGTTGGCAAGCGTGGCACATTTGAAGAGGATCTGCAAAGGTGCATTTCGTGTGGCGGGCGCAGTACGAGAGATTGTCAAGTTCAAAAATTTAGAAAATCTCACAGCATTGCTGCGCTTTTGATGTTGTCAATTTCAAAAATGGAGGAGGTCTCGCAGAATAGCTTCGTTTTCAAGCTTGCAGATAGATAGATAGATAGATAGATAGATAGATAGATAGATAGATAGATAGATTAGACAGGTAGATAGATAGATAGATATAGATTAGACAGGTAGACAGATAGATAGGTAGATAGATAGATAGATGGATAGATAGATAGATAGGTAGATAGATAGATAGATAGACAGATAGATGGATGGATGGATGGATAGATAGATAGATACAACTACAACTACAACTTCAACTTCAACTTCGCCAACACTACACTAGTACAAATACAAATACAGCTTCAAATGCAAATGCAAATATACTACGCTACATTGCACCACACGAATTACATTACACTACACTACTTACACTACACTACACCAATTACACTACACTACACTGACCACTGCACTAATCACACTACACAACAACAACAACAACAACAACAACAACTACTACTACTACTACTACAACTACTACTACTGCTACTACAAACTACAACAACTACAGCTACAGCTACGACTACAAATAAAATTACACTACACTAATTACGCTACACTGTCACTACAACTCTACTACACTACACTACAACTACAACTACAACTACAACAGCAACTGAACGACACCACACTACATCCAGCAGTTGTAGGTGACCACCGCAACCATTGCAAACACTCCAAAAAACGCAACTGCAACCACCTTTTGGTCCATCAGTGGAATCGCTCCGCCACCCATGCATCACAACAACTCACCTCTCCTATAATGTCCTATCTTTGAAACTTCCGCCACCGCCTTGTGCGGCGCTACTGGTATTCAAGAATGCTTTAGCATGGCAATAACCTGGGGTATTGCGAAGTGTCTTTTGGTAGCCCATTGCTCCCATTGCTTCAAGCTGCACAGACCAACAAAGAGCTCAGCAGAAGCCCTATCTGGCGGGAAGATAAATGCTGCACAGCTCGAGGTGAGGACCAAGAGGGTATGACTCGGGCCATGGGAAGCCCATCATCCAGTGAGTGGATCGTCCTAGCCAAGGCCGGGCCAACGACTTGGCCAGATGATTTCCATGGCTCACCAGAAACCCATCCTGAAAACCAAGAAAAGTTGGCGAATCATCCTTAAATATAATTGAACAGGATATTTGCTCCAATGACACCACCCCTTTTCCAAAAAAGACATTTAGGAAAAAAACATCGATCCAAGTTCACCAATGAAGCCGGACAAAATGAAGACATTCTTTGTGCTTTATCTGAAACATCTGAACCCTCCCCAGACTCCAACAAAAGACCCCGACCAAACCAAGGCGCAATTTCTGGCTCTGATTGACATTGGGCAGCTGCAGCAGGGCGGCCGTTTTGGACGACCCGCCAGCTTTGCCGCAGGAGTCCTCCAGCAGCTCCGCCAGCACCAGCGGGGCCAAAATGGCCAGAATCTTCATGGATTTCATGTAGAGAAGTGGGGTAAGGTCATAAGGTGGGCGCCAGGATCCCGACCTTCCAGGTGTCGCAACAGTTCCGGGAAGGTCAGGGCTAAATGCGCTTTGAGCCGCTGACCCTCAAATGGACATCCATTGAACTAGATTGAACAAGATCTGGCAATTGAATTCACTGAGAAGTCGAGAGATTACAAGGAACCACCTGGAAATCTTGGAACGGGGCCACTAACTCTGAAACTGGTGAATCTCAAGAGAGCGCTAGTTTTGTTTCCAATAACAACCCATGCTTGATCCTTATTACGAGATAAAGCCCGATATAATGATCAGAAAATCATTGTATAGGGTCCCCTTATAGGGTCTCTAGATTTCAGTGATTATTAGATTGATTCTCCTCCTCCCCTCCTCCTCCTCCTTCTCCTTCCTTCCTCCCAACAGCGATCTCCAGATCTCAGTGGGCACTGCTGGACCTCAACCGCTATCTCCAAATCCGGGCCTCAACCTCACGCATTGCCGGACCTCAACCACGAGCTCCAGATCTCAGTGAGCACTGCCGGACCTCAACCGCGAGCGCCAGATCTCAGTGGGCACTGCCGGACCTCAACTGCGAGCCCTAGATCGGCGGACCTCAACCGAGTGGGCACTGCCGGACCTCATCCGCGAGCGCCAGATCTCAGTGGGCACTGCCGGACCTCAACTGCGAGCCCTAGATCGGCGGACCTCAACCGACTAGGCACTGCCGGACCTCACCCGCGAGCTCCAGATCTCAG